TGAAGAGCCCTTTAACACCTGTATTGGTAGCTGGTGTTCATATACCAGTACCTCCGAGCATCCTCACATCCCTTAAATTTTATCCTTGACACCAGGTTCATATTCTGTCCTTCCCAACAGTGCCCAGCACATAGCAGATGCTCCCTTGAAAAGGCAGGGAGTGTGTAGAAAACGAGCGTCCTGTTTTACAAAACTCTAAATTTATTCCAAGTTTTAAAAGATTTCACTCTCCCCTCCAAAATATTTTACAATTAAAAAAAATCAAAACTATATTCTCAGCCACTGTACAAATTGCTGCTTCCTTTTTGGGATCAGACCCTTCTCCAGCCCTCTCCCCCACCCTTACCTCTCAATATTGCTGTTTGTTTATAAAACCCTCTGTCCTCTCTCCCCCCATACCCTGTCCTGCCCTACCTTATCCTGCACAAGTGGCTTTTTTTCAAGGTTTCAGGCCCTTAACAGGAGAAGCCAAATGAATAGGCAGGATGCACCTGCTATGCCTGAAAGGCAAGCATATGGTTTGTGCTTCTGGGAGGATTGCTAGTTGGCTTTCTTCTTGGTCAAGTGGAGGATCATTCTTTTTTGTCTCATGGACACCTGAGCAGCTGGCTTGGGGTTACTCTGGCCATATAGCCCTGCCTTTTCTCCAGAATCCTTCAGGCATGGGTCAATGACAGCTGGGTTTGATTACTATACCATTTGGCCAGTCGATTTTTGGAGATAGGAAAGGGGCACATGACTGCAGTGGAGTTTGATGGAGCCCCAACTTTTCAGAGTGTGGGCATGAAAACCTCAAGTGAGGAAGTTTTGGTTTCCTGGTAGGCAAAGCCAGGGCCAGCCAGGACCATGGAAGGTAGGTAAATGGGAGCAAAGGGCAAACCACATAGCTCTTTAGTGAGCAATGTTCCTTCTGAACCACCCCCATCCATCCCTCCCTTCATCCTGCAGATCCCAGGATAATTCCAAAAAGGAGGAAGAAAAAGAGAAGGATTCTGTTCTGCTGATGGGAAAAAGGCAGGAGATGACACGGTGTTCAGGGTTGGGGAGAGGCCTGCCAGAATCTTCCTTATTGTATGAACGAGGTTGAGGGGGGCCAAGCCCTCAGAGGCTTCATCAACTCTGGTCCTTGTCCTTGACTAATAAGACTGTGTGCTGGCCCCCACTGGACACAGATAAGACCACACGGTTCTCCAGCTGTTTGCCCGTCATCTCCACGGGGCTCCAGGCATCTTCATCCTGCCCTGTGCCCAGCTGGTAGTTGGTACCCATGCCCCAGGAAAAAACGCGACCTACAAGGAAGAGAAATGGGGGCAGCTATCTCCAGGATACCTAGCCCCACCTTTTTGCAGTATAGAAAGCTAGGACATGGGAATGAATTTTGGCCTTGAGCAACAGCAGCCTAACAAGATCCCAGCTTCTCAGAGTTTAGGGAAGATGTGAGATACCAAGGAGATGGAGAAAAAAAATCTTTGGAAACCGGAGACCACAGTCCTTATTACACATTGCCAAAGGGTTCTCCTTGCTTCTAGGCATGGTATTCAAGGCCCTACATGACTGGCCACTACCCAAAACCACATACCACCCTCTGTTCTCAGGACCAGTGACCTCTGAGACTGCTCTGATGTCCCTCTGCCTGGGGTGCTATCCTTTTGCTTTTCATAAAGGATCGAAACTTTGCAGTGCAGTGCAATCCCAACCCCCTCAAGTAATCTTCAGATAATCTCAGATCAACCACCTCTGCCAGCCCCAGACTTCTAAAGAATCTCCCTGGCTGTCCCCCTCACCCGCTCAGGTTTTGGAAGCCACTTATGTACACTCTTGTCTGCTGTGCTTGCCAGAACTAACTGCTGAGCCTTCTCTTTCCTGGTAAGTTTCTAAACGCAACTCCTGGGGAAGCTGGCACATGCTAGGTGGTACATAAAGGCGTCACCATGATGCAAAGTTCAGAGAAGCCTGGGTTAGGAATCTGGAGACAGTGGTGCAGGTCCCATTGTCTCCCTGGACCTAAGTGTTGTTTTTCTCCTCTGCAGAACAGATCACCTTCATTAAAATAGCTTGTTTACTCCTTTTACGTTGATCAAAGCCAGCGCTTCTGAGAATTAGGAATGAGGTGCTATCATCACTAATACTCTGCATCTCAGCTCTCCCCAGTGGTGCACATCACAGTCTGCTGGGGAGCCTGGTAAAGAATCACAACCCCTGGGTCCCATCCAGACCAAGTGTGGCCAGCCCCACTCACCATCCTTGGTCACAGCATACCCTACAGAGGCTCCACAAGCTACTGAGGAGACTGCGGGCAACCTGGAGATGAGGGTGGGTATGCTCTTCTCCTCAGCACCCTCCCCAAGGCCCAGTCGCCCATACTCAGCCCGGCCCAGGCTGTATGCTTTTCCTGTGGGAGAAGGGAGAGAATAAGCAGTAGCAAAGGGTGTGCTCTAGGCAAAACAGGTGGTAGGCCAGGTAAGTCCCCATGTATGTGGGAGCTTGTCCCCACCCCAGGGCTATCAGAGGAAGGTCTGTAGTGTCTCTTCTCAATTTTGTGAGAACCTCCACATACCTCCCCTTTGAACTCACACTTAGAAGAACAGGACTTTGAGGGGACGGGGTATCCCGCATGGACCCACATCTGGCATAGCCCATAGAACAAGCCCAAGTTCCAAGGACCATGTTCTCAGGAATCTGGCTAGGCCTGAGCCCTGGGAACACTCCACCCCAACCCAGAGAAGGATGTGGAGGCCCTACCTTCTGAATCCATGCAGACTGTATGGTGCAGGCCACCAGAGAAGCCCACCCAGGACTTGGTGGAATTCTTGAAAGATGTTAGGTTCTGGGGTATGAAGCAAGATTCTGTGCCTGGAGTTCCTGGGTAAAAGGCCAGAATAGATGTTCAGGGAGCTGCCCTTCCTAATCTTACAATGAGGCCACCCCTATCAGGAGATGAATATTCTAACTTTACAGATGACAAAAGCATGGTTCTGAGGGGTTAAATAACCCCACAAAGGCTACAATATGAATGGCTCGTGGAACCAGGACTGGAACCCCAGTCATTAAGTCATGTCCAATGCTTGGCTTGGGACTTACCAAGCTGATGGTAGTTGGAGAGGCCAAAGCCATATACATGGCCCTCGAGGGAGATGGCAAAAGTGAAACAGGCACCACAGAAGGCATCCTGGAATCTCACATGGTCCCGGTTTCCCCTGGATTTCAGCATCACACACTTAGGGACCAGGAGTTTTTCTGTAGGCAGAGAAGGATGCCACGGTCAGTGACAGACAGACACACATAGCTTCTCTTCTCTTTGCCCGTGAGTCTGTTTCTTTTCCACGACAAAAGCCCTGGGAGGGAGACTACATAGGGACTCTTATGCCTACTTTTTTTGTTTGTTTTTTGAGATAGTCCCACTGTGTTGCCCCAGGCTAGAGTGCTGTGGCATCAGCCTAACACACTGCAACCTCTAACTCCCAGGCTCAAGTGATCCTTTTACCTCAGCCTCCTGAGTAGCTGGGAGCACAGGTACCCACCATAACACCTGGCTGATTTTTTTACTTTTACTAGACACAGCATCTCACTCTTGCTGAGACTGGTCTCAGACTCCTGAGCTCTTGCCTTAGCCTCCTAGAGTGCTACGATTACAGGTGTGAGGCATCACACCCAGCCTCTTATTTCTATTTTATAGAAGAGGAAACTGAGGCTGAGAGAATACAAGTGCCTTCTCAGATTCCCACAGTCATTACAGGAAACATTCACATGGAACTTACCATGCACCAGATAGTTAATCCATTTAACTTGACAACAACCTAATGAAGTAGGTTTAGGTGTAGGTAAGTATAGGGATGAAGAAACTATGTCCAGGGGGCCCATAGCCAGTAGGTGGTAGAAACAGGATTCAAACCCAAGGTCTACCTGAAGCAAGCCTAACCAGAGAATCCCTTGTCTTTGGCCCTCTACTGGGGGGTCACTTGCCCATTTGACCTGCCGGGGGTACCAAAACCTACCAAGGCCCCGCCGGCCACCACGAATGGCAAATAACTCAGGCACACGGCCCAGCTGGCCCTGCTCCCCACAGCCCAAGGTGTAGAGGTCACCGTCAGCTGTCAGCATCACCAAGTGGTCATTTCCTGAGGGCGAGAAGAAGGTTGGGGATGTACGGCTTGTTTATAAAGCCCAAGCCTGGGCCAGCCTCAGAATAGGACTTGTAGTCTCCTGCCCAGAGCAAGTACCCCGGACTCACCTGAGGCTACCTTCACCACAGGTGCATCTAGCTGCACCTGTATGGGCACCATGCTCTTCTTCATGGGCTCCAACAGCCCAATTACACCGTTATTGTCCTAGAAGGGAGGGACAGAGCACTTACCAGCCAGTCCTGCCTGCCCCATATCAGCCAAGTCTAGACTTGCAGGCAGCCACAGAGCTGTCTGATGAAGGGCACTGGTACTAGATGGATATGAAGAGGCAACGAGGAGCCAGGCCACATACTGCAATACTTAGAAATGAAATCATACATGGTATAGGATTTGCATTAAAATAACCAAGCAGGGGGGTAGACATAAACAACTCTAGCCACACGATAATTGTTGAAGCTATGTGGCAAGTAGATGAAATTTCAATATATTATTCTGATTATTATTTTATTTATTTATTTTTTTTGAGACAGAGCCTCAAGCTATTGCCCTGGGTAGAGTGCCGTGGCA